TTTCTTCGCATCTCACAAGGACCTTCTCCAGGTTGGCAAGATAGTGAAGGAATGAATCTTCGAATATCGAGAAGTCGTCCATGAATACCTCCATTATCTCCCCCACGAGCTTATAAAAAATGGCTACCATGCATCTCTGGAATGTTGCTGGGGCATTGCACAATCCAAATGGGATGCGCCTGTAAGCAAATGTTCCTGTGACACCCTAACCCGGCCGGGTACTAATTTTTCTAAAATGCCCTTGATAAATAAAATACTCAAATCTTAAATTGCAGCGAGAAGAATTTTCATAAATAAAATACTGAAAACACACACTTGGAGTTTAAAGCAACGCCCTAACACATGAGCAAACTTAATACTTAAAATCTCAAAATGATCTCCAGTCTATACTCATAATCATAAATGTAAATAACTAATAATCTCTAATGTTGTTGCTACTCAAAACCTTGACTAAGTGTAACACCCAGAATTTTGGGTTATGGTTCAACCATAATACGTGATCGCGGATTAGTAGTAATAATTATTATTATTATTATAATTTTATTATTAAAAAAAAGAGGTGGGGCAGCCCAGGAGGTCTGCGCCTCCACGCCTCCACTCCCCCCCAAACATTAAATCCCCCATTATAATTGCCGAGCCGCGAGAAGAAGAGAAGGGTCGCCAATAATTCCCCACCCCGCCGCCCTCTCCGATTTTGTTTGCCAGGGAATTCACCGCCAGCCCTATCACGAGCGAGAAGAAAAATAAAACAAGAAGAAGCCGCCGCCTCCCTGAGCCCCGATCTCGATCCCGGTCCCGATTTCCCAGCGCGTCCCTTTCGTGTTTCTAGGTAAGGATCACCAACCCCTTCGTGGTTTCTAAACTCGATTCATCGTTAGACTAATTCGAAGCTTGGGTTTTTATTAGCGGCGACGTTGAGGGTTCGATCAACGAGGAGATCAACGTCCCGGGTCATCCAACCTAGTCCTAGACACGTTCTAGAGGTAAGGGAACTCGATCACTTTGAGTTAGATCGATCGATTTGATGATTTCTCGTGAGGGTGCAATTCTGGGTTTTTAGCGACAGGCGTTCTGGCTTTTAGTAACAGAATTTTGGTGGTCACTAAAGCTGCTGGGAATTATTTTTGAATGTTTGAATTGTTTCGAGCTTGTGTGGGTGTTGGTTCCTGGGTTTAATAATTTTATAAATTGAGAGACGTCTAGGTGATGGCTGTAATTTAATTTGGGCATTTTTGAAGATTTATTTCTATTTTTAGAAATTGTTCGAATATTTGTTTTAATTAAATAAAAATCTTTCAGCAGGGTTTTTAAGGGTTTGATAATTTTCTAGGGTGTAGGGGCTCATGATTGATATGGGAAAATTATTGTCCAAAATTATAAGAAGATTTTAGTAAGGTGAAAAATTTGTCCAAGATAAAAATAATTAAGAAAAATAGTCGGTTTTGAAGTGATTAATTCTAGAAATTTTTAAAGGGGGTTGAGGGACCTTTGGAGTGAGGTTTGAGGATGGGACTTTGAGTAGAGGAAGTCTGGGTAGATAAAAAGGAGGCTTTTAAATCGAGAAAGGTTGTCTTAGAGTATGAATTTCTTATTAATAGGTTTCCTGGGATAATCCGGCTAAGGAGGGTAAGAAGGCGAGAAAGTTAGCATCCGATCGAACTTCGTAGTCTCGTGTGATGAAGAGGTTCACACTGATTAGTAGGAGGGGAAGAGTCGCGTCTATTAGAGGCGGAAGGAAGGCCGAGAACTCGACATCGGTGATCGCAACTAGCGGGGGGTAAAGTGATGGAGAGGCCCCGACCCTATCCTCCCAGACGACCCGGGGTGTCGGCAGTTCAAAGTTGGCCGCTGAATTGTGGCCCGAGGAGGGACCTTGAAGAGAATGGCGGCGGAGCTCCAATGGTTAGGGTCATGGATGAGGAAGACGATGAACCGATAGAGGAGCCAAAAGAGGAAAAACGCGCGGGGCTTGAGTGTGAGAATGCAGACGTTGATGCAACTAAAGAGGTGAGTGTAAAGGGGGTAAAATCTCAGTCGTAGGTCTTTATTTTATGCTTTTATTTGCAGTAATGTTAGTTAATTTTTCTAGTATGCGCGATATGTGTGTGAGGCATCCCACCACCTGTAAGGGTGGAAGCACGCGTTGTGCTATGTATGAATGTATGTGATGATTGTAATAGTTGGTTGATGGTAAGATGAACCCCCCGGGCGGTTGGGTCACTACTGGACGGCGAGACGTAACGCAGTAGTTGACGGGCATGAACTGAACGGTGAGACGTAACGCAGTGCCATTGCCGAGTTTGGGTATGCAACTGGACGCGCGAGACGTAACGCGGTTGGCATACTAGGGTAGGACACCGGATGGCGAGACGTAACGCGGTGGTCCTAGTGTTTTGTGTTGAGATAAGGATAGATGTCGAGAACTTTTATGAGTGAATATTGAAATGAGTTGATAAGAATGGTTATTTGAGAGCAGAAAGCGAGAACGGCTTTCATGCTA